AGACTAGGGGATCAGTGAGAGTGCCAGGCCAGACTAGGGGATCAGTGAGAGTGCCAGGCCAGACTAGGGGATCAGTGAGAGTGCCAGGCCAGACTGGGATGTGCAGCCCAGCAGCGAGCCGGTCTTCACAAACCACCTCCCCTCTAGGTGGGGCTTCTGTTGCAGAAAGGGCGGTGTGCTTGTAACTCCTGCACATCTTCTAGGGCTTTGTCATTTCTCTTTATTCTTGTATCCTGGGATAGTCTGTTATGTATGTTGCAAACATTTCTCCTACTTTATTCAGTGTTGTTTGTGATGGTGGTTGGCTCACACAGAACTTCAATTATATCAGATTGAGAAATCTTCCTTTTAAGGTACTAAGGCGTTGCTGCGTTTAGTTTTTAACTCCTAGCATTTAGACAGAACTAGCTGAATTTTAATAAGTTTTTTATTTTTTTAATCGGGAAAAATCAGTTGTAATTTTTTCAGATAATTTCTGATTTTCTTGTTCTCTCGTCTCTCCCCGTACTCCATTTACATGTATGGTATACCATTTATGGTTTTCCCACAATGCTTACAGGTTGTCTGTGGTTTCTTCCTCTAGGGTTTTTTCTTTAAAAGCACTTTCAATTTGTGTGATCTCTGTGATCCTTTTATCGAGTTCACTGCATCTCTTCTAGACACAGGTGATCTATTTTTTTTTTTTTTTTTTCCTTTCTGTATTTTAGGGAAGGGTGTTCAGGGTCTCACTACTAGATCGAACTCCTAGTGATTCTCCTCTGTGCAGCCTCCGAGAGCTGGGATTGCAGGCTCGCGCCACCACGAAGGGTCTCAGTTGCTGTCTCAGCATGCCCTGGGGCCAGGGCCTGCCCGCAGAGGTGATCTAAGTGCTGAACTAAACTGCAGCATTATTTCTGTTTCCATGTTTTGGGTGTCTGGCATTTAAATCCAATACAGTGTAACACAGCTTCTATCCATAACATACCCATGCTGTGTCTTTTTCTTTGGTCTTTGTGTTACTTAAGTGCCCAAACTAAGTTCTGTCATCTGTGTCCTATTTGGTTGTGATTCACTGGTAGCTTGCTCTCTTCAGACTTGTAGAAGATGTGGAAGTCTGATGTGGAATACATTAAGGGCTGTAGACAGCTTGAGATAGTAAGGATTTGCAGTCAGCTAGTCAGGCGGAGTTGGGCTCTTTGCAATTGTTGCTAGGTGAGCTTCGCTGTTGTTGTGGGCCGCATAGCACCCTCCTCTGGGGGCTTTTTTCTCTCACTTCTTGGCTTCAGTTCAGCTCTTCCCTTTGTACTGTCCTACAGATGCTCTCTTACTACCCAGTGGCAGCTCACAGTCATTATTGCTGATGACTTGATGGGGAATGTGAGTTTTACTAATGTTCTGGGCGGTGTGGTGTGGTGGTGTGGTTTACATTTAGCCCCTGCTCTTTGCACTGAGCTGCATCTCAGCCCCTTTTATTTTCAGACAAAAGCTTGCTTAGTCACTCAGGCTGGGCTTGTATTTTTAGTCCTCCTGCCTCAGCCTCCCAGCATGTATGTGCCACACAGTCAGTGGTCCTCCATTTTTGAACTGTGAAGTGGCCCTGTGTGTCAAGGACGTGGCCTACGCAAGTATTTCTGCTTCTCTGGGAGTAGACTGTTCTCACTCATCCCTCCCCAGCTGCAGGACCTCCCTCCCCCTCTGTGATCTTGAAGCTGTTCTCCTTGCAGATTGACAGGGTTTGGGTTGTGTGGTTTTCCTTCCAGAAGCTGTGGGGATAGCCACCAGTGCCCTGAGGCTACAGCCCTGAGAGAGCCTTTCCACTGCAGACTCAGCCTTTTCTTCCTTAAAAGGTAGGGTAAAAGCTAGCACCAGAAGAGCAGCATTCTCCCTGAGATGCTGGTGGGATTCTTGGTGGAAACAGCCTCAGAGGGCCAGGAACAGTCCTGTGACTTCACACTCTCCCAGCAGCTGCTCAGTCTGGAGGCTGCGGCCTCACTGAGGCACGAGCGCTTGGGTCTTTATGGCTCCCTGAAGGCATTTGTCTTTTTTAGGGGGGATGGTAGATTCTGTTTGTTTGTTTGTTTTGTTTTTGGTATTTTAGGACGGTGTACAGGGTCTCTATGTAGATCAGACTCATGATACAATTTTTTTTTAATGAATTCAAAACAAAAAAAGCAAGTCATTAGTTTGCTGTCTTTCCAGGTATTTTCTTATAAGAGAAGGAGCTATATTGTTCCACATCTGTTCCTTTCTGAGCCTAGCTGGGTAGCTAGTTGTCAGAACACAGTAGATTGTGTGAATTGTCACCTTTATCACCTCCCTTTTTATTCATTGTTCTTTGTCTTTTAGTCATATAAAATACTAAGCTCACACACATCACAGAGGTGTGTTTCGGGACTCTGTTCTGCCTCATAGTGAGTTCTTTGCCATAATCCTCAAACCACATTGTCTTATTACTCCATTTTGTCATATATTTTGATGTCTAACAGAGTCTTAGTTTCTTTACTTGTCGCTGAGACAAAATACTCAGTACCCACCAGTTACCAAAGGAAAGGCTTACTTAGCTCGTAGCTTGTGGGGGTTTCAGTCTATAATCTTCTGGCCTCAGGGTGGAGTGGTGCATGGCAGAGGGCAGTAGTCCATAGCAGCGGAAAACAGCGAAAGCAGCAAACAAGGGCAACAAGCCTCTTTCTGTCTTTCTTTCTTTCTTTCTTTTTTTTTTTTGGCGGAACCAGGGATTGAACTCAGGCCCTTCCACTTGCCAGGGAAGCGCTTATTCTACTGAGCCATCTCCCTGGACTGGCCCCAAGCCTCTTTCTCTCTTTCTTTCTTTCTTTCTTTCTTTCTTTCTTTCTTTCTTTCTTTCTTTCTTCCCTCCCTTCCTTTCTTCCTTCCTTCCTTCCTTCCTTCCTTCCTTCCTTCCTTCCTTCCTTCTTTATTCCTTCCCTCCTTCCTTCTTTCCTTTCCCTTTTATTGTATCCAGTCTCCTGGGATTACGGCGGTGCCAATCTAATGGGTGGACTGACCCAGCAGTTACCCACCTTAATCCCAGCACTTTTCTACACATAAATCACGTGCTATAGATTCAAATGACCCAGGCTGTCCACAAATGCCGTGACCACATGAGGCTCTGGGGGCAGCGAGGCCTGAGCCACAACATTGTATCTCCTTCATTGTTCTTCATTTTAAAAAGTGATACTTGCTTTTGTATGAATTTGATTTACCATGGCAAGTTTCTATAAATGTTGAAATTCAGTTGAGATTGCACTGGGTCTATAGGTGGAGCTTTAAGTAGAGTTGACATCTTTTTAATACTGGATTTTCCCATCTCATAACTTTTTGTAGCTATTTATTCAGGTCCTATTTATTCAGTTCAATATTTTTCTTCATGATATTCTTATATGTGAGTTACAACCAATATGTATTAGCGCAGGTTTATTGAGCTTATTGCACCAAGGGAAAATAATTACAGGAGCATCTCACTGAGGGGGCTTGGAAGGGCTTCTCATAAGGTTTACGTTTGTAGGGAACCATTCAAGGAGGATTAAAAGAGCTGAGGCCAGTATTTTACTCTCAAAGATTATTTGCTTGAAATGTTATTTTATATGTGAATGACTCATTGTTCAGTTTTACCTAACGAGGGATCATTTCTGTGTAGTGCTGCATAAGGGGATACAGGATCTCCTTTCAATGCGAGATGTTTCTATGCATATTAGTGTGATTCTTTAGTTTTTCTTTTTTCCCTCTAGCAAAATCCACTGTATAATACAGCGAGATGCAAGGCATTCCAGTGTGATCTCACTAAAGATGACCTTTTGGATCATGTGTCGCGGGAGTCTGTCGATGTTGTCATGTTGATATTTGTGCTGTCAGCTATTCACCCTGATAAGATGCACCTTGTCTTAGAGAACATTTACAAGGTTGGTAACTCGGCGCTGTGCTTACGAGGTGCTCATCCCAGCCCCCTTGCTTACCTTCCCCCGCGGCTTGGGTACTGCCCAGAGGCAGGGTCCCCGCTCTCGTCAGCTGCATTCATCAGCAGCCTGTGCAGCCAGCAGGGGTTTCTGCACAGCACACCCACTCCATCCGCTTTGCGCTGCTTGGCCACCTTGCACGCGAGGCCTGTGTTGCAGTTGTGCTGTGAAGTGGGGTTGTGGGTTAGTAGTCAGTAGCACAGTCTGGGGTGAGCGCGGTGGAGTGCAAAACCTGGCCTCCCCGTTGGGCAGCCCCCTTCACCTCTCCAAGCCTTAGGGTCCTTACCTAGAAGTGCAGTGCCAGCAACATGGCATCATGTGGGTTTTATTGTTTTAAAAAGTGAAGCTGAGCATGGTGACACACTCCGCTAATCCCAGCACTCAGCTCAAAGCCAGCCTGAACTGCATAGTGAGACCCTGTCACAAAAAGACAAAAAATAAAAATGAAGTCATGAGGTAGAAATTTCAAGACACTGGAAACTTCTTAGGGAATTATTCTCCCTTATGATAGTACTTTTTTGAACATTTAAATCCTGCCACACTGGTGTGAGTCTTTGCTTGTGAAGTTTATAAAGCTTTTTTGTTCTTCCACTCTCTACCCCTGGTGTCTGAGGATGTACAGACCTAACACATACCCACAAGGAGGCATGGAACTAACTGAAGAGAAGGAAAGGAATCAGGGAAGAGAGGTTAGGATCACCTGATTTAGAGTTCTAAGGGAAGGCAGAGGGTTCCAATAGATGAGGAACTAGAAAGCTGCAGAGATGGAGGAAGCAGGATAAAAAGTGACTTGTCTGCCAGTGAGAGGGGATTGAGAGGGGTTCTAGTTCTTAGTGTTGAGGTTTTTAGAATGTTACCATGACGGGTAAGATAGAGTTTAGATAGAGTGGCAAACAAGATCTTTAGAAAAGAGAAGAGCAAATTTTTAAGAAACAAGAAATTAAAAAAAAAAAATTTTTTTTAAAGTAACTAGCATATTTAGAAACATTGAAATTGAAGCAAAAAATGGACAGCCCCACACCTGGGGCACGCTGAAATGGCAGTTGAGACTGGGTGTGGTTGCTCGGTCTGTAATCCCAGCTCTTGGGAGGCTGTAAACAGGCAGATTACTATGAGTTCAATCTAGTAGTGAGACCCTGAATACCCTGTAGGCCCTTCCCTTAAAAAAAAAAAAGAAAAAAAAACTAAAATAAAATGGAATAGCATTCAGATTAGGACAGTAAGCCAGAAGAATATATTCCTCACAAAATGGGGGTAGTGACACCAGAATGATAAGTGACAGTAAGGGGTAGTGGGTGATATAATTTGATAATGAGATTTGGGGAAAAGCTGTACAGAGAGAAAAACGGTGAATACGCGTAATGTAGTAAGGGTAACAGTCCCCTCACGAGGCCTAGTGGTACCAGATGGTGGAGACACAGGAGACACAGCCTGACTTTAGAAGTTCAAGGGAGATGTGTCCTCAGGAGATAGCTTTCTGTGAGAATAAGAATGCGAAGGGCGGGGCCAGGGAAATGGCTCAGTAGAATAAGTGCTTGCCTGGCAAGCTCAAGGGCCTGAGTTCAATCCCCAGTTCCACCAAAAAAAAAAAAAAAAGAATGTGAAGGGAGCATTCAGAAAGGGTGGTGAAGTTCAATCCCCGGTTCTGTGAAAAGAAAAGAAAGGGTGGTGGACACTTAGTAACTTCACTGACAAAGGGTTTCAGGTATTGGGGGAGAGTTGGAGATGGGGTAGAGTAAGATAAGAACCTGGAACCTCGTGGCTTCATGGGGATGAGAGAGGCCACTGTCAGGGATCATGTGTCACTTGACAAAATGTCATTTTGTCATTGTATAAACATGGAAAAGTGTGCGTACACAAGCCTACTGCATAGAGTGGAGCCCACCACTTCGTAGGCTGTGTGTGACAGCCTATTGCTTCTTGAGTCGTGACAACACAATGTTAATGTGATCGCAAGATTAAAGCAAGAATAACCTGGGGAGATGGCTCAGTAGAATAAGCGCTTGCCTGGCAAGCACAAGGGCCTGAATTCAATCCCAGTTCCACAAAATAAATGAATAAGTAATAATAATAATAATTAATAATCATCATAATAAAGCAAGAACGAGAAACATGATGCATGCAGGTGGCACAGTGCACACAAGATATGTGAGGCTGCTGCTGGTGTAGCCCCACATACTGGCTTATAGTCAACTTTTTTTAATAAGCAGGTGTACGTTCTACAATTAGAAGAAAATTTACAGCATAGTGTGCAATGGTTTGGATATGGTTGGGATTGCGCCCCAAGAGTTTTATCAGTTGGAAGCTGGGCCTCCAGTGCGGCAGTGTGAGAAGCACTAGAACTTTGAGGGTACAGCCTATGGCAGTGATGGCAGGCCTTTCAGAGCCCACGCGCCAGGCTGCAGCCCAAAACCTACCTACTCATTGCAAAGTTCCAACACTGCAGTTAAACCTGAAAACTCAGGTTTTAGTTTAGAAGAAACCACTTATACAACTTGTGACATCATCACAGAGGATAGGGCTGCATGTACCATAGGCTCGTGGCTGCAGGTAGAAGTGGTCTTTACGTCATTGGAGGCTGCTCTTAGAAGAGATTCAGAGATTTCTTATTGAAACTGTGCTTACTTCTTGTGAGAGAGTTGTAAGTCAGGTCCATCCCCTTGCTCTGTGATCTCTGCCTCATGCCTGGCTCCTGTCAGCCACCATAAAGCCTTCACCAGAGCTAGTGCTGGTGCTGTTGTACCCTTGAAGTTATAACAGTAAAGAAACCTTTTTAAAAAGTTTTCCAGCCTCAAGTATTTTATTACAGTAATGAAAAGCAGAGTGATACATGTAGTAAGTACATAAACCAGTGACACAGTCATTTAGTATCATGCTTTACTTTTATATGACTGGAAATATAATTAATAGGTTTGTTTAGATCAGCACCACCACAAACAGTGCATGTTATGGTGTTACTACAGTTACAACTTCACCAGGTGATCAACTCCATTATAATTTATGACACCGCTGTAATACATGTGGACTATTGCTGACATACCTTCATTATGACATACCTTCTACTTAACATTATACTGGAGGTGCTAGTGAGCTCAAAAATACAAGATTTAAATAAAGAATTTGAGGATGAGAGCTGGGGATACAGCTCAACTGTACAGTGCCTGGCTGGCAAGCACAAGGTCCTGAGTTCAATTCCTGGTGCAAAAAAAAAAAAAAATTTGAGAATGAGGCACAGGCTCAATATTTGCAGAAAGTTTATCAGAAAGTGTTAGAGGAATCACAAAAGAGAGGCACAAAAGCCTATGGCAGCTGCAATAATGAGGTCGGAATGGGCGTGCCTGAATCAGCAGCCTCTGGTTTGTTGCTGACAGACACCCCTGCTCAGTCAGACTCAGCTATATGACTTTTGCTGTAGGCTGCATAGGAAGACCTCTGGGAGACCCCAAATACAGGAAATGAAGGCAGTGGACTTGGAGGATGTGACTGTGACCTTCACCACAGAGGAGTGTCTTTTGCTGGATCCTTCCCAAAAGAAACTGAGCTATAATGTGGAAAACCTTTTGGAACATTCCTGCAGTAGGAAGAAAATGGGAAATTGAAGATGAGTGCAAAAATTCTGAGATAAATCTTAAGTCAGGAGGAAGAGAGATTCTGCCAGTATGCAAGTATAGAGTCAATGTGGAGAAATCTGGCTGGACTCCAGATCTTAATGTGAACATGATACTCCTGGTTTAAAACTACATGAAAGCCTTGTAGATAGAGAAATCCTGATCACAGCTCACACAGAACTCGGGATCTGAATTTGGAGGAGTGAGTCCAGCACAGTGGTGTATACCTGTAATCCCAGCACTCGGGAGGCTGATGCAGGAGAATCACCACAAGTTTAAGGTGAGCCTGGGCTGCATAGTGAGTTCAAAGCCAGCCTGGACTACATAATGAGACCCTGTCTCAAAAAGAAAAGGACAATCCTCAGTACCACCACCGGAGGGAAAGAGAAAAAGGAAAAAGCGGGGAGGGGGAGACTGTACAAATAGGAATATGGGAAAACCTACAATTACTTTCACTACTTTCATAAGGCAGGGTTGGAGATATAGCTCAGCAGCATAAACACCTGCCTGGCATGCACAGGTCTTAAGTTTGATCCTTGATACAAAAGAATAATAATAATACAAAGGACTCACTGGAAGGAAAGCCTATAAATGTAAGCAAAAAAAATAAAAAAAAATAAAAGAATGTAAGCAATGTGGGAACGCCTTTAGTTCTTCCAGTTACATTCAAGTACATGAAAGAATGCACAGTGGGGAGAGACCCTGTAAATGTAAGCAATGTGGGAAAGCAGTCAATCCAGCAACTTACAGAGACATGAAAAGAAACAGTAGAAAGAACCTTTTCTTAATGTAAGCAATGCCTACACTCTGTAGACACAGTCACCTTCAGGTACATGAAAGGATTCACACCAGACAGAAGCCTTGTGTACGTAAGCAGTGTGGGAAGCTCTTTACTGATGCATGTATGGACACGAAAGAACTCAGTGTGGAGAAGCCTTGTATATGTCAGCAGTGTGGGAAATCTTTCATATATAGCAGCACACTTCATATGCGTGGGATCACTGTGGGAAGAAATCCCATGTGTGTGAGCATGTAAGAAAGCCTTTTCTTCCAGATGTTTTCATATACATGAAAGAACTGGAGAAAAACCAGTGTATATAAGCAGTGTGGAAATACCCTTACTGGTAAATACATTTATAGACATGAAAGAATTCAACAGTATGGAGAAACCTTGTGTATGTCTGTAGTGTGAGAAAGCCTTAACAAGCAGTACACTTCATAGACATGAAATAATCCACAGTGGAAAGAAATACTGCATGTGTAAACGCTCTGGGAAAACCTTTGCTTCTAGCTATTTCTGTAAAAATGAACTCACACTGAAGAAAAACCCTCTATATA